AGCAAAACAAGCACTGAATATTATTGCCATTTGTGCCACACTCACATTTTCAGAAGTAGAAGTTTTTTTCTGCACTTTGCTCTCTCAAAATATTAATTTTAAAGGCAGTTCATGTTCCCGATCCATCACTAAGTACCTTAAAAACAAATAAGACCAAGTGCCTGTCATGTTTTCTTATTTTAATGATCTTTCTATTTCTGATTTGAATGTTTAAAGATTATATAAACTTAAGTTCAAGTCAGACTGAATAGAATCTTCCTTTTTTGGCACAAGTATATGTGTATCAAAATAGGACAGAGATATTAGTTTAAATAAAATATATAGCTTCATTTCTTGAGGATTACCCTGAAAGTTTTGAATGTGGCATGAACAGTGAAGAGACACTTAAGATCAGTACAGTTCAGGTGATTAACAACTTGCATTTCATAAGGTGTCAAGTTATTATAAACTGTAACAACTGTAAATAATGGGTCATTCCTAAAGTATAAAAAGCCACTAAAAATAAGTACAATTTTTTATTCTCTAACAAATGTTAAATACTCCAAACAATATTCTCCTTTTATTTTACAAAGTTTTAAATGTTGTTCTGTAAATGTACCCTTTGATTTCAGAACAATCAGACCTCAAAATCTGCTTTAACCTATAAACAGGGGACTACTGAAGGACTCTTTAAACATTTAAAGCACTATTATTGTTAGAACAGGAAGGAACTTGATCAATAAACCCAATAAACATGGTGATCAAGAAAACCATATTCAATCCTCTGTCTGCATTCTCAATAATTCTATTCAGTTCTAATCACCGACGTTGAGGGGGCATCTCATGGTATCTGACATCATGGAAGTCTACCAGCTCCATTTTAACATATTACCGTTTTTTGAAGCCAAAGCTAACATATGTTAGTTATACAGAAACACTGTATTCAAATCTAGTATAACAATCACGTTTAACACAAATAAAAAGTGTACTGAGACAAAAATAAAGGTCTCTTTGGACATAAACACAGATTCATCCACATTAACCTACCCTGAAAACAAAGCAAAAGGCAGGGCACTCACTCTGTGAGTTTCAAAACTTTAAAACAAATTGATTGATATCTATTAGTCTATGAGGTACAGGGGTAACATTCAAAACCATGTATTCCTGCTGTGAAATAATTATGGGCCGATTCTGCAAATTTAGCCATTTCTGTTAAGTACATATTGATTGCAATTGAACTTGCTTGAAAGAGCCCTTATGTTTTTTTTCCCCTCTATTTACAAATATATCTGAAGTATAAAGATGTGCTTTATTATCACTTAGTGATTCACTGCTGGATGATGGTCTCTCCCAGGTTATTCAACAGACTTTTGATTTCTTCGTCAATCCTCATCCTACTGCTACTTCTGAGAATATATATGTACACACACAGTTCCAGAAGTACAACTGGCACAGTGTGTGTGAAGCAAACTACTCACTAAACTTATTAGGTTAATTATGAATTACAGGTACATTTGCTAATATTGATATTTTCAACTTGAAACATTTTCTAGCAGCGTAATTCAAGATAATGCCAAAATGCATTTAAGTACCTGTATAGAATATTGTACTTAATTGCATTTTAAATACAACAGAAAAAAAAGGATTTTCTTAACTATTCCATGCGCAAAAAATATCCAAGGCGATGAAATTCCATCCAAACAAAACACACAAGTTGTCCCATGAAATCAGACCTGCTACCTCCAAGCCCATGTCCATTAAAAAAAACAATAACACTTTACTCAAGGTGGAATGAAATGCAGAAATTAATAAGCCAGTCACATACAGCCGATCTTTTGGAAACTTACTGCAATTCCCTACTCTCTAGACTGGGTAATTTGGCACTAACTCTGAACACACAGCTATCCTTTCTTTATGCAGATGCAAAACGGTGACAAATCTCAACACACATTGTATGTGTTTTTGCATAGGGATAGATCTAACCAGTCGGGGACTGGGACAGTCAGGAATGAAACTCCATTGGTATTTCCAAATAGGTCTTGTAAAACAATACTGCACTGCATACACAAGGCAACAAATTGGACTGGTTTCAGTATTCACGTTTTGTGTTTGTAATGCTCCTAAGTGTATGTATTACAAATGTACAAGTGATTTTGAATCAGTGAAAAACTGAACAACCTCCACAACCACATGTACCCACATAACCATTAAGGGAGATCCAGAAAGCACAGTTACAGCTGAGTCCTTTGTTCAAACAAAAGTTATAAATAAAACTATAAAGAAAAATCAGTTTAGCAGGCAAGCCCTATTACCTGGTTTTCCAGCCAAAATACGTGGCACCTGCCCTGTGAATAGTCTAGTACAGTTACCACACCCTAACCAAATAGAGGAAGAAAAAAGTGAAACTCCTCCTCACAATTCAGCTGCAGAGGAGTAACATTTTCTTTAAGGTGATTGAGAGATCAAAGCCATTAAAGATCACAGCAAACAATACATTAAAAAACACTTTTTCACAAAGAGAGCTTAGCTTTTCAAAATGACTGAAAGAGGAATATAGACAAATAATTATTCTCATGTTTTTTGGAAACATTGCACCCAGTTTTATGTACCAATCAACAGTGAAATGGAAGTATTTCCAAGCCTAGTGCCATGATGACGACGAAACACCACGGTAATAAGAAATAATAATAAAAAAAATTCTAAGATTTCATATCTGATCTACATTTCTTGGGGGTATTCCGGATAAGAAAAAAAATTGCAATAAAACATACGGCCTATTCCAAAACCAGTACGCTACCCTTCAAGGATTTAATTCAGATGCTAAAAATTAATTTCAGTTAATAAAACATATTCTGTGCTCCCAAACATTTTTTCTACAAAGAACACAGATAACAGATCTCAGCATTCATATTAAATCAAGCATATACCAGAGTAGTCAGAATCAATTAAAACATTAAGTTGAATGTGGAAAACCACTGGTCATGGCTGTCAACTCTTAAGGCTTCCAAAGCAGCAAGGGTTATGGTTATCATTTCAGCTGAGCTGATGGATATTTGACAAACTCATTACATGAACCAAGGATTTAGCTTATTGAAACGGGCAAAGGGTGCAAGCCTTTATGTTGTACAGCGATACTGGCAGCCATAATGTCCACAGCAAGGCTCATTTTACACGACAGTGTGGGAATACATCTTTAGGTAAGGACTGGGCCACCAACACTCATCATAGGTAACTTAGACAAGTACACCCAGACTCACAGTGGTTTTCAGCTCTGTGGCTTGGTATATGAAATCTACAACAGGGTGGGTAAATTGAGAGCTTTCAGAAACACTAATTTTAGACAAGCAAAAACAACTTAATGCTCAGGTAGAACAAAATCCAGAAAAGCTTGTAGCACTTAAGACAACTAAGCTTGTTTACACTTTAACAAATCGTCAGAAATTAACTTTTGAGAAAAGATCTTTGGTTCCAGTTCTCACTAATAACTTAAGTATTCGGAGCAAGAAAAGGTGAAACAAGCTGGATAGATTCACTGGGGTAATATGACAATGATTTAGAATAATATAACCTTGGGGGAACCACAGAACGAAGAGAAAAAAAACATGCATTTTTTAAAGTTTGTATTTGCCGATTATGTTTTGTTTTACCCACCTAGTTTGGACCTCCAGTTGACTCCCACATGAGAGGTTGAGGAAGCAGACTTCTCTGACCCTTTGGGATACTTGTCTTTTAACAGGTCACAAGCATCAGAGTCTTGTACCAGAATTTCAGCATCAACTGGAGAGGCTCATGTCTCACTGATAGCACTGCTTGGCTGCAAGAGGCCTGGAAGGCCACATAGGGCGTAGGCACTCCTGGGCAAATATTCCCACCCTACCTTCAGTGATGCTCAATCAAGGTGCACCACCACTTGGGAAATCTCAGTCAGTCAGCTAGTAACCCGGCTCAAACCCATAATCACAGAACGTCTTCTACTTTCAGGCAGTGCTCAAACTGGTTGAATTGCTGGGGTATGCAGCATAAATATAAGACTAGGGTGAATGATTCCGTATTGTATTTTACTTTTTTTTAACACCATATTCACACTCAATTTCAATCTGCCCATGTGGATGAGAAGACTATGTTGAAAGCATCAAAATAAACATGTCAAAATAAGGTAAATTGTGCTTATAACTATCCGTTTTTAAAACTAAAACAAATACATGAACAGGTCATGTTTAAACTACTTAGTATGTAAATAAGCCTTTTCTAGAGACATAATTTTCGGAAAACCGGCATTTGGGGGAATAATGCACTTACAGCCATTCAGAAATAAAAAGCTCAGAGCAATACTTCAGTGGTTTTACACAAAAACCCCCACCAGAGAAATGCTAAAAAAACATCCTGAAAGTAGTCTGAACATTAAAAAAAAAATGACCCCTCCCTCATTACAGTACATTTCGTGTCTAGGTCCAATATAGATCCACTAGGAATACTGAATCCTCAAGAGCTGACATCCATCTCCTAGCCCCTGATTCAGTTTCCACACTGTTCAATCTCATTGATTTAAGCCGGACTTTTATGAATGCAATGGTTTTGAGATGTTCTAGATGTTTTTAGAACTTGCCTTTTTTAAACTGTATGTACCAATATTGCAATGAGGAAAAAAAATGTTGGGTGGTATCCAGCTTCTGGAACAATGAATATCTAATCGTGCAGCTAGTAATTTGGTATAAACAGTTAAAGAAAAAATGTTAGGGTGGCCGAAACGTATGTTATCATGCAATTTCATAATCTAGTTTCAGGTTAGCCCATTTTCAAGGGCTTGCTCACAATTTGTGGCAACGTTATCACTGTGCTTACTGACTTCCCAGTATAGATAGGGATGGCTGTAGATTCCAGATGAAAAACTGACAACACATTTGAAAATATACCAAAAACTATTTTAGAAATATGTTTAAACATGACAAATCTGCCTGGAATATAATTAAACATCCTTGACATAGTCTGCACCAAAAAAAAAGGTACAGTGTACAAGTACGCATTATTATACACCAATATTTATGAGCAAATGTGGTCTATAGACAGACAAATCTATAGTCTAAATTACAATACAGGTTCAGGATGTGTATCTGCTGTAGGAGAAAAAAAGATAAACAGGATGTGGATGCATTAGCAAAAGGGATACCTGACAGTGATTTTTCCCCAAATCATGTTGATTGCAGTCTTGTTTTGGCACACAAACCTGATGATTTCCTCCTTGTGGACTGTCTGAGACGTTTTTTTTAATTGTGGTTTGAGTGAATCAAGAGGTCTTCACACAAGGCATACTGGATCTTGCTATGCAGCTTGTACAAAATGACTTTTTACTGTACCATCAATTCTTCATGTCAAATGTCAAACAATTCTGAAGAAAGTACTCAGCGGCAAGAACTTTACTAAAAATAGTTGTTTTGCCATTAACTAATCCACCCCCAGTGGTGTCTTAAAATGATCTAGTGCAGGACTGGAAGGCTACTGAGTTGGATTTCTACAACCAGCACTGTTTCTAGCCTCTTTGTAATTCCATTCTTTATACAATTACTGAACAAAGATATTTATGGAAATGTATCTAATTAAACATGGTTTGGTTATATGTTATAACCACATACAACACTAGTTTGTAAGTACTAGATGTACTAGAAGTAGTATGTTTTGATGGTAAGTCACTAACTTGGGTTCCAAGACTTAAGTTGGTCACATACTGGGTGCACGTTATATGAAAAATGTGTTAGTTCAAAGTTATTCTGAAACATTTCATGTCAATTATACTTGCATTTCATTATGATTCAAATGGATTCAAGTGCAATGTTTACTAGCCATTTCTTAAATAATACAAGAAACACATCTAGATTGGATAAGCTCTAGATTGAAATATATGCTCATAGAAGTCTAATGCCTGAATATTGTATTCTGAATTTTTTAAAAAAGATTTGTTCAGTGTCCAGTTTTCCTTCATGCAACTGTCACATATGTGGACCTTTGGTTTTGACGGATGTGATGCTTATTACAAGGCCATTGAGCCACCCTACACGGATAAACAAGTATACAGATTTACAAAAGCATTTCTATTTTAGAAACTGCCTTATTTCTAAACAAATGAGGCTAATTATTTTGGAATGGTAATATTAAATTAATTTTTACTGAATGACCATTTGCAAAAAAATCATGAAAGGTGAGCTTGAAAGGGACAGTTTAAATTGTCATCTTCTAACCATGGAAATGTTCAAATGGAAATACTACAACAGTGCTTTAAGAAAAAATACAGAACTTCTAGAAAAGTTTTACAAGTTTGAAAGGGAATAACTTCATTTATGCAGACTCGCGGTCCCTACTATATTTTAAGAACAAATATACAAGTTTATACGTTTTGCTTTTAACTTTTTCCCCTACAGCTAACTATTGCACTGACATTCCAAGAAAGATAAAAAACACCACTCATAACTGGTCAGATGTACAGATGCACATTAGAGGAATCTTTTATTCTGTGACTTCCCTCCACTGTAATAATACAAGCTCATACAGTGCCACTGAGAAGTCTGATGTCAAATAATCACCGCATTACTAGAGAGTGACATGACATCAGACCCCAGCCCACCCCCATCAACACACACAAACCTGGAACAAGTGCTTCCAAGTCTTATCCTCAGTCAGTTAAATTCAGTCAATGAAACATGCTGCTGTATGTGGCTGTCCATTAAACTGAAAAGACCTCCCAGGGACCTGGTACACTTGCTTAACTTCTAAAAACATCAAACAAAAATCAGACAGAATCCTTAATATTCAGATCTCTCCAAAATGCGCATCCATGCATTTAACCTTTAAATGGATACCATAGACCCTTCTTACCCTTGTACAAGGTCAATAATCATTACAGAAAGCAAGCATGTTAAAAATAAAGTCACCAATATACTTCACCTTCTTGTCTCTTTAGGCAGAGGCCAAATTTGGTGCAAACATTTCCTCTATAATTTTTCATGTACAGAAGCCATTTCCTACGACTGTTTGAGGCTGGTCCCTTTTAGGTTTACCAAATTGATATATGTACTTTATCAATATCTGATATCAATACCAGAATAAAAAAGAAAACCATACTGGTGACTTTAACACATGCCAAATGCCTTTTAAGTAGAAACAATGTCAAACAACTAAAACCTCATATGGCCAGGTACTGAATGAGAAATATTTAGTATTATTTTAGTATTAAATGCCATGGGAATGAAGGTGGCATACATTATTTCTTTAGCTCCTGTCCCTGTTAGACCACACTCTCGCGAGTGGAAACAAGGACTGCCCTCCGGCAGATGGGACAAGTGGAGTTTTCTGAAAGCCAACGGTCAATGCAGTGGACATGATATTCATGAGAGCAGGGGAGCTTGCGCAGCTTGTTCCCTTCCGCGTACTCCGTGATACAAACACTGCAAGTCTTCAGAGCGTCATTCTCCCCAAAATTCCGGGTCGACAGGTTGTCAATTTGTTCTTTGGTGAGTCCCCTTGGCTGATCATCATCATCGTCATTGAGGAGGAAGAAGTGTGCCAGTCGGAGAAAAGGCAGGGATCCGGGCTCCTCGAGGCTGATAGGGCTACGGCCAGCACGACCTTCTCTACCAACTGTCGGCACTGAAGCACTCTCGCTGGCAACGTCCTGACGCTCCTCTGCGGTCCGTGGCTCCGTGCTCTCCTGGCTGGAGTTGACGGTGTTGGTAGAGTTGGTGGTGTTGTGTAGCTCTGTGGGCTCCGTGGACTGGCTGGGTCCCCGGTTAGAGTCCGAGTCACTGTCACTGTCCATAAAATAACTCAGTTCGCCAAACCCTGTCATTATCTGCCGAATCATGGTCTGTAGGGCCATGGATGTGGCCTCACTAAGTCCAGCATCAGATATCCGCCGGATGGGAATGCGGATTGTGCTGACATACGTCCGCACCCCTGCTCTTTCCGATCTCGAGAAGGTACGACGGAACCCGCCTCGTTCACTCTCATATAAGAAAGTGTTGTTAGAGGTCTGGGAGCGAGACCTGGTCCGGCTTGCAATGCTGTCTCTCTGGCGGTACTCCCCTGGCCGCACCCTCCGCACCTGAAGGTCCAGCATGATGGTCGGGGGTCTTCTGCTGGAGGAGTTTGTTTCAACACCAGCCCCCCCATCCGAGGGGTTCTCCACTTCCTGGGGGGCATTAACGGGCTCTGCTGAAGCACTGTCCAGCTGGGCATCATACTCCACAGTGCTCTGTCTCGAAAGAATGTGCTGCCTAGTTCTGGAGCTTCCTTCCATTTGAGGTTCTGAAATGTGATGGGGACTCTGAGAGGATGTGCTGCGTCGGGCTCGCCGCGGGCCCTCCACGCCGTCGTGGTTCAACGGTGAGCGGCTCCTCTCGTTCCGGGCTCTGGTCCTCCGCTGCTCTGGACTGCGGCTTCTGGCCCTTCGCTGACCTCTCCGGACTGCCTCCTCAACAGGGGGGCTCTGTGGATCTGGCAAATCAAGCTGCTCAATGGGTGGCCTGATCAGCAGAGGAGACTCAGGAGGTTCTGCTTCAGGATGGACAATGATGGCAGGCTCCTCCACTTCTGCTGCGACCGTTTCCATTGGCTGTTCCACTACAGCAGTCCCAGGTACTGGCTCCGTTTCCCCCTCAAGCGGCTCCCCCTCTGCCCTGGCCTGCTGCTCTGTAATGTTGCGGTTCACATTGATTTCCAAGCTGAAACGGAAGTCACCACTATTTGGGTTGGTTCGGCTCACTGCTCTCCATGACTGATTACCCCTGTGGCCACTCCGGGTTGTGTTTCCTGTCCGTCTTACCGAGTTCAACCAGTCCAGAATAGTATCTCCATTGGAACCCTCCTCTGACCCCTCTGCTCCTATAGGCAAACAAAAAAAGTGAGCACTAGAGTAGAAATGTTTGAACTGTTGTCTACAACCTGAAGTTAAATGCAAAAATTGTCCTGTGAAATTATACAAATGAACATGCATCTGTATGAAATTATACAAAAACAGTGTCATTTTTATCTGCGATGACTTGGTATACACGTTAAATGGCATGGTTTCTAAAAAAACGTCAAGGAACTGCAGTATGTTACACTTTTCAAAATTATCAAAATCCTATATAAGATTTAATATCCATTTCAAACCTATTTTCTACAATTATCACCATAGTACATAAGTAGACAGCTGAGGATCTAGGATCTAGGACTGTTTTTATGACAGAAAGAAGTAAACAGTGGAAAAATGGGCAGACAAAAAGATAGTATACCCACATTGTAGAACTGCTGCAGTTACAGTGACTGGTACTCACCAGCAGCAGTGATGAGCAGATTTTGCCATAACATTTTTAAACTCTGAAGAGACACCACACAAGTATTTCTAGGTATTTTCTAACTGTGCAGTTAATTTAGGATGTGTTACTTTTTTGTTTATTAGTTTGTTTATTACTACGTATCACATCTAATGATTTACTTTTATTTGTATTTACCCATTGTAGCCTTCAATTCTACCCAAACAAATGACTGCAATAAACTGTAAATGGTGCATTACATTCTGAAGTTTACTGTGCTTTGAACACTTTGTGCATGACTTAGGTTCGTGGTGAGCACCTGCTCAACAAAAGCAAGTCCTTTACATCAAGACCATTTTAATCTCAACTGTAGGCTGTACAAATGATTAAGCAAATAGTCATTATGGACTAGAAAATGGCTAGATAAGATGGTATCAATTAGTCACTAAATCAACCAACTGCTTAATATGATTCTTCATGATCAGCATTAAAACAAAGCCTTCTGCATCTTTAGTGAAGCGATAAAATACATTTCATAAGCCCACATACCAGCACTCTCTTCACTTCGTTCATTAGCATTCTGCTGCTCTGGCCCATCTTTGATCTGCTGAAGGCGACTCAGCAACTCCTCTTCTGTAATCTCACCTAATAGAAAAAGGAAACATTTCACTACAAGGCTGCTGATGCCATGAACATCCTGATGCAAAAAAAAAAGAGATCAATGTTGCCACTGCATTTCCTTAAATGAAGGCACAATTGGATCACTGAAACAAAAATTAAAAAGTACTGAGAAAAAAAAAATACTGGCATTTTCGGAAGAAGAGTCTGTTATGATGAACCTCCTAGCACAACAAAAGAATTGAAAACAGTCACAACATAATTCATAAAAATTTCAAATAAATGCAGACTGAAATCCAAACTGAATATGCACCTGAAAGAGCTTGTTTCACTATAAGCTGTGCTATTAAAACCTTTCAGACATCTGTATGGAAGATTCTTTTTAATGAGGGGGAAAAAGGGTTGGTCAAACATTACCACCGTTTACAGAATTAATATACACCCCCAAGTGAAATGCAGATATTCTATACTGCAAAAATGAGCATCTGAAATATGCTTAATTGATAATAAGGAAGGTAGCCATTAAACTTACTTCATAAGCCTGCATCCAAACAAAACGTACACTATTTTTTAATATCTTTTTATATCCATTGTAGCACAAATACACTGTCCAGCTAACACGGCAATACAAACATCATGACTCATCTTCTACTGTTCAACAATGTAGTAGCACATGCTTACAATTTTTTAAATGCTGCAAACTATGGTTTATGGTTACAGTTTTTTATGGTTTTATTTTTACCCTAACTTTCCAGTTGTTTGGTCCAGAAAACCAACATTTCTATTCTACTGCCTTTGCAGTTGTGCTCTAAAGTCAATTACACTCACTGTGTGGTAGATAGCAATCACTGAGAATGGAAGTGATTTTTTGCTTGCCTTTAAAGAGTTTCATTTATTTTAAAAAATGTGAATTTCTTTCATGAGGGCTTATAAACTATTAATTTTTAAATTGATTTATCAACTTTTGTAATTAAAATCAGTGATTTACAAACCTTACATTAATAATGCATTTTAAAAGTCTAGCATTGAGTGTGAATATGTAGCTGCACAGATAATTAAAAAAACTATATAACTTAATGGAATACAATATAAACACCTATGCATCAATTAATCTATTAGTACACTTATAATAGCTGCAATGCAAACTTATTTCAGTTAATTTTCCTTTCTCAGGAACATGCAGTAACTCAACCAGCACCTTTTTTATAGGAATATTAAGATGTCAAAGCTATTCATGTACTTTGTTCAAACATGTAACGACCATTGTAAGATGGCGATCATGTGCATGTGAGCCTTTTAACATCTAGTGCTGTATGTCTGAAATCAATGCAAAAAAACTTTATACTGCTACAATCTAAGTCTGTATGATTATTATAACTTTCAGTATGCATTCAATTGTCTTTCAATTGCACATAGGGGAAACTGAGCATCAAAAGAGATAACTATATAATTTTAAAAAACATTTAAGAATAGTGATTAAATGTTTTTGGTGCTGTTAACAGATCATTTCTGAATGGTGATGCACTAAAATATTGACTGTTCGAATTAACATCAAATCACTTATTTATTTAGAATTGACTCTGGTAGAGGTGGTGAGGTGTTTTAACCTGTAGAATGTCACATATGGTGGAAATCAGGAAATAAAAACACAGAAAGGAACATGTATACTCTGCTTATCAATACAACAATGCTTTTTGTTATTATTCATGCCATTAGGATATTGGAGACCAGGCTAAGTAAACACACTTTCACTAGCCTTCAGAGGTGTTCACAGGTAGAAACTGTTAACCTGGCAAGGCATTACAGCCAAACAGTCAATGACAGGGTATGATCTAGCACCTGATCACAGTGCCGTACCAGGATCAATGGGGAGATCCAAGTCTGAATGATTGGCCAGGACTGTCTAGTTCCTTACAGAACTCCACCTTACTTGCTACCCATCCTTTCGCTTATATTGATACATCAAGATTCCAGACCTGAGTGACACTGAATATTTGTGGGATGAGTTAGAATTATGTGTGAGATGTAGAACACGAAGGCCAATCAACAAGCACATTTTTCTCCAGGATCTTCATTAGGAATTGGAAAGAATCCCACAAGGCAGCACCTGAAACCTCATCAAAATGTTTTGCAGATGAACAATTTGTATTACTTCTGACAGTGGCAAGGCATGCTTGTACCCAGTGACTTTTACACTAGATCCCCTATTGAAGATTAATCTTAATTTGCACCACAAATTTATTTTATTTATTTATTTTATTTATAAGGTCAAAAAAACTGATTAAAAAGTGTCATTTTCTTTCCACTTTTTCAAAAAGTTTGCCACCATAAGTGGTATGTTTTCTTTTGATGCTCAGTATACATTTTTCATCTATTTCTAAAATGTTAGCAGTTACAGCTTTATTATAGTGCTGTCAGTTGAACAGTCTTTTGAGAATTTGGCAGTTGGTTTCCAGGTAAGTTTCAGTATGAATCCGTCTTACCTACACAGCGAACAGTACTGCAATGTGGAAACACTGAGCAGAAAGATTCCAAGTAAAGTCCTCAAAATCAGTATTGTAGACAGGCCCTTAGGTACTACAATAGTAATGCAAAGTAGCTACTACACAATATATGTATTTATCAATATAAAGATAAACAACATTAAAGAGGGCCTTTCTGCTATATAAAACAACTGAAAAGAAAACAATACTCAATATGTACAAGGCTACAAAGAACCCTTCATAATGGCTTATGAGCTGCCTTCACAAACTCTCTAAATGCATTTGTAGCAACACCAAGTAATTTAACCAACTGAGCTTTGCACAGAAAACAATACTGTGCTTTGTGCTTAATTAAAATGAAATGTTACTGCAGTTTAACAAAATGGCCCTGTACACAAACATGATGTGCCAAAGCAGCTCTGTACTCCAGTACATTATATTTTAGATTCATATTTGCACATTTACCAGCATTCCTTTAGTTATTGCTGCTTTAGGCATACGTCTAAACCTCAGAAATATTTTTCTACTCAAGGTAATGAGAAAAATACATACTTTTACTACTGTATAAAAGACTTGCATTATATTTTTGTATAGAACTCCCTGGTTAGTCAATTTTGCCTTAATTAACAGAACAAAAAAATAGCTTGGCCATGTTAGTGAACCTTCACAGTGAGTTTCTTCTGAAAATATTTTAAAAAATGTATTAATGCAACAGGCAAAAAGGTCACTTTTCATTATCCCATGGTAACACTTTTTGAAAGAATGTTCATCCCAAAAAGACTGCAATCCTCAATATTACAAAGTATAAACTTACCATGAAACGCCCTGTCCGCTCAATGCCAAGCTTCTGGCACCAGCTTCAGCCAATGGACGAACATGCACAAGCTGCTCCAAAAATTACCTTCTTTCGTGTCCTCAACAAAAATGGACGGGTCCTCTTCGGCAGTCCTCAGGCTTTTGTGGTGAGCACAAAAACGCTGCCGTGCATAGGACAAGGTATTGAAAATGGGGCAAAACCATTCTAAATAGATTATCTTCCGGAGCCTTTCCCTATGCTTGGATTATATGAGAGCCATTTGCTTGTCAAAATCTAAAAAAAAAAAACAAGAGCCCAGTTTCCTCTTCTTATATACATCAGACCATAACTGACTGCAGTCAAGGACAACCGGTTTATTCTTTGACATTCGCAATCCAAGTTTATGTGTTTATCACTTCAATATTCAAAGGCTCTGCTTTGGTGGGTTTCTCCCTGTCAAAGTCACTATGTGGCCTATGTTTGATTTACAAATAAGTTCAAAAGATCGAAGTGGATGGGAAAATGGTTATCTGGTGCTTCCAAGCAACAGTAGTTATACGTGTTAACTAAAAAATTATGCAAGACAAAAGCTATATAGAGAAATATTTTACACTTTTTAAACAACTTACAGTTTGAAGTGTTATTTAAAAAACAAACATGGGAAAAATGAAAAGTTTATTGCATACCCATAAGGAGGATATCCCATCTACAAGACTAGGAACCACAGTTAATGGCATCTGTAAATGCTCAACTTCTCATTCAATGACTTGTGCAGTATGCAGAAAACTGAGGCGATTAGAGATGTTGTAGTACATGTCTGGAACACATCCAGAACTGATACAGCAATGAACATGTGCTGTAAGTGAAAAGTGAGTGAAAAATCACTTGGTACATAAAATGGATGTGTACACAGCTAAGCAGCAGAGACTGCTAAATGAATTTCAAAAAGGCAGCAGCTGTGAAAACAAGCCACCTGAGAACACCACCAAAGGTTTGGTGTTGAAGGAAAATTGAAAGGAAAGTACCAGCTAAGGTACAGTTTCTGAGGTACTCGCGCAAAGGAAACAAAAGTAAATATGAAAGATATACTGCATAAGAATTACACACAATAAATGCTAAAATGTCTTAATTGTGAGTAAATTAACCTCAAATCAACAAAAGATTTGTCCTTTTAAGAAATATGCCAATGGAATCAAATATAGGAAACAACCTATTAAGCGTAATGACAGAAAATGCAATTAGTGCTCCAGAAAAATTTTAGCTCACTACCCTTATTGGCCTAATGTCAAGATGTACAGAAGGTTCTTTCAATTTTAAGGACCTCAAGAGGATGAGACAATCCAGTTGCAAACCAGCTCTATTAAGGTACACTGAAGAAGATACATATTTTGTGTCAACTTGAATAAATTTAGACGTGTAGCATGCCTGAAGGTCAAATGGAGCGGAATTTAACAGGATAATAGATCAGTGTCTCCAAGGTGATGTAATAATTTTTAAAAATTATTTAATACAGACGTAACATACGGATGTAGTTTGTAGTGAAAACATCCCATCCCAAAAGCAGTTGAAGCCAAGATGCAGTATTAAACAGGTTTCCAATTAAAATCCTTTAAAACTAACTGTTTAGAAACTTAAGATTTCAGATTCACCACCTAAATGAAAATTTGTCAGATTCACCACCTAATTGAAGCTGGAACAACCATAAATCAACCTAAAATGCTCATAATTTAGTTTGTAATGACATTTAAAATTGTTAAAACTGCCTTGTGGACATGTGTAAAAGTTTGATGGGTTACTTTTAATTCATGTCAGTTCACAGGAGACACTTGATGTGTTATTATATAATCTACATAGCAAAGAATTTATTAAAACCACACAGCAATATTAATAAAGAAATGCAGAAAGAAAACTGCAATAAGTCATATTTATTCCACTAAGTGCTAACCTGCTCAGAAGTGGCAAAGGCTTAAATCTACGCCACACCAGTCTGGAAAATAAACTGGATTTACGACTCAAAGTAAACAAGTTTTAAATGATGATTAGCATCAGAATACTTCTTTGAAGCTCTCCTACATACAGCTGAAGGAAACAATTATAATCTTTAACTTAAGCAATACAGATAGCAGATTAAACTCCACACTTTCGGAGTAATAAAGACATGATCAGTGTGTTATTATACCAAATAATGAATACTGTGGCACAACACTAGTAGATTTCTGGCTACATAAAGTTTTCTATCATTCATAATGTTAATGCAATTCCAAATGAAATGATTTTAATGCAGAAACAGCAAAACATCACCACACCAAACTTCAGTAACGAATAGAGGCCTACTTTTGTCATGACTGAAGGTGGTCTGTTCTGCATTGTCTGTGCCAAGACAAACAGTGCTGCAACCTTTTTGTAATTTAAATTAAATTAAAATGTAGTTAATCTGTATTTTAAAAAGTAGGATCAAGCTGTGATCATGTTAAAGTGATCCGAATTTGAGCCCGTTAAGCTTAGTTTTAGTACTTGATGAGCTTTCAACACTAGGTCACTTTAAGCACTTCCTTTTGAAAGCATTCAATCCAGGTGTGTTATTTTAAGGTTTTCTAAAGCATTTTCTTGAGAAAATATTAAATGAGTGGCAAAAAAGTCTTGTAATTATAACCAATGTGATGCAGTTCATTCATTTAGCATGTTGACTAACTACTTTGTGAGGTAGAATCCATCGCTTCATTTTAAAACGTTAGTATTTGCAAGTCAATCAGTTTTTCCTCCGCCTGACTGGGTCTGTGGAGGAAACCCAATAGTATTAAAACGGAAACAAAAACATATCAATTTAAGGGAATTAGCTGTGAAAATTGTTCTGTCACTAAAAAATGGATGTATTACCAGGGGTTCCCAACAGGTTATTGTCTCTCATCAGCCGGTAGTCCTCCTCACTCAGGTTGTTCACAAACTGGTAGAAAGCCTCTTCCCTGTTGAGCCGGTCTCTCTGCCGCTGACGTTGAGCTTCCGACTGCTCGCTTCCTCCTTGTTCCGCACTGTCCGAGTTCTCCATTGCAGCCAGGGCAAAGGTGAGGTCCTACTTCAGACTATTAGAATGAAAACAAAGGAAAATTGATTTGAAGATGGTGTGGTGCCACAGGGTTACATATCAGCCCCTTGAGCTGCACTTTATTTCAAATATAAGAGCCACTTTGCATTTGGCATTAAATGATACAGTACAAATTCTTCTAATCTTCAGATCATGTTCATAGCGGGGGCTGGGGGAGAGGTTATATTGATTTAGCCTGGGATGGTAATCATGCACTCGTGTGAAAATTCAAACATGCACTCATAAAAAACTTCTTTAAAAATGTCTCAAGCTCATAACTGGGACACAAATCTAGCTTCATAATCAACTCCTTACACGTTAAGTACACACTAATATTTGCGGAAACCGGAAAATGTGCTCATGTCATTAAGGATCTGCCCAGGCACGTGATGAAACACTATGTATTTTACACAAGAAATGAACAATTTGAGGACACGTCGCTTTTTATAGGTAGCGACTGATCTTATCAAATTTAAAAGCACATGGAGATACTCTTGTGGAAAAGATCAGAGTGAATCCAATCACAGCAAGGAAGCTGTTGAGCTTTTCTCAGCATTCATGGTTAAACAGGCAAGGCTTCAAAATGATTTTTAATCTGCACTGGTAGAAATACAATAGGGAGCAGTGAATACAAAAAAGTCTGCAATGTCCTACTTATTGCTTATGCTCTTTGTTTTACTAAGATTCACACATTCTACACAAAATATTGTTATAAAACAGACATGGGTACAACCTACATATTTCCTATGAGGGCTTACACTTTCTATAAAAAGTCAACTTCTTAAATAAATGACAGATCCAAAAGGTAACTAAAAATAAATCTAATTCTGTAAATTTGGAGCAGTTAATTCATTCAGCTGCATGGTTTAGTTGGGTCATGGCTTTTAAATCCCATGTGGGATGTTGCTTTTGTACCCGTGAGCAAAGTATGGGATTCAGATTGCTCAAGTGAATACCAGTGGGCAGAGTATTTACTGGAGCAATTCCACCAGTTCTTCATTGTAAGCTAGTATTTTACAACGATCACAGTGTCTGATTCATAAACTGATCAAATAACATTATTAACAGATCTGCTGCACAATCTGTGCATTTGAGTGCACACTATAAATGTGATGCTTAGTACAACAAAACTAAAATAAACATTAATTTCATTACCTTATCAACTTATATGGACAATGAACCAATCTGAAAACATTATAACAAATGCTTGCTTTTTATGATCCAATTAAAATGAGTGAATTATAAAAACGGGCCTATAATTTTGCAATAGAATAACTCCCAAACCAAGGACTATATCCCAATGAAAAACCACTTAAGATGGTAATCAGTGGAAGAGGTTCAAAATACTATTCTGAAATATTAAAAATTGCTATACAATTAAGTTACTGAAATAAGGCGGTGCGTCATCCCTATTTATCTTCAGTTATGTGTAAAGCAAAAGACGTCTGAACTTTTAAAAACGCATGGTCTAAACTGTGTATTTAAAAATGCTGAAATCATGTGAAGCCTTTTTGACTAAAATTATTCGTGTTTAGATCAAAACACATCATGTCTGAATCTGACAATCGATGAGAAAAAACAAAATGGCAACAGCTGTACGTTTCCCAAATTAGGTCAGAAAAATATCTTTCTGGATTGTATTACTGAATCTTACCGTGGTATAAACAACACAGAATTACTACTATAGTCATAGATTTGATTTTTTTCGATCGGATTCATTTCAAGCAACTCAATTATGAGTAATAAGCTCTGAGGCCCACCGTCTGTTAAATTAGGTAAAGAAAAGAAAAAACAGAGAAACCTCCTTTTAATCGCTAGAACACCGACAAAAAGCAAAAACAGTTATTTTAACGACTTTTACTGCGGCATGCTGAATTGGTGTTTCTTTAATTAAAGAAAATTCAATGAAAGGCTAGACCATCAAACGACATTTCATGAATTGCACAACAAAAAATAAACAAGGAGTTTCTAATTAAAAACAACGTCATCATTTTCCGGCCAATAACACAAAGCGGGACGATTTTTGACCCCCGTGTTACGAATTCAAGAACCGTTTCGTATACCTGTTATAATCCGTTGCTTTTACTTCAATTAATTCGCGTATTTTCCTCTCTTCTCTATCTCGGATTCACCTCTGTCTTCCTATGTCTCAAACTGCCATTTTCTTCATTATTGCAAAGCCTACCGGAACAGGAGCTGTGATAAAACGGAAATACGCAAGGACCAGGAGTTCTGTTCGCCCGCCACAGCGCCATCTTGAGGAGGGAAGACGGACTCGGTGCTGCATTCTTTCGGTTTTCTCTGGTTGTTGATGCGGTGCATAGGAATAAGGAGAAATGCGGGGATGTAATGCATGTAGCTGGGAAGTGACAGATTACATAGAATGTCTTTTCTAAAAAATGAACTAATAATTAGAAAGATGTTACGCATCCTGGTACATATTGTCATTGGATGATAATAAAAACATAATACCCCAAGTGCGTATAATTTCCCACGTGTGCTGCTGTCACTCCAACGCCCTGAAGCACTGGGGAGACGAAAACAAGAACCGGAATGCGGATCAATTTAACTAGAGGAGAAAGGCATGCGCGATAGCATCCAAAAATATTGTTTATATTAAACTGGGTCCACTAACTTATGATATGAGTATGTGTCATACAAAATTATTTTAATGTTTTTTTTTTTTCTGGCAATCTGTGTTCTTCGGTTGTAAGCTATCTATAATCACCATTTCACACACACCCGTGCTTTGTGCACACAGGCCCCTAGGCTGTGCCAATACACCAGACTGACGCTGCGGCGCCCCCTCAACAGCGTTCCACACCGAACTGCGCTAGTTCACGAAAGGTGAAGATGTTACGCGCATGAAATAAATAACAAAACCCATTATTGGCATTTCTTCACAAAATGTTTTGCATTTTTGTTTTCTGCCCGAAACAGAACATTAGGAAATCATCAAAAGAAAATGATTTTTTTTTGTTATTTCTCTTCAAAATAAGAATCCAGTGTAGTGTATTTGTGGGTTCTTACTATGTGTATACAATTTTGCCACGCCTCTTCTTGTCAACATAAGCATCACTAACGGATTGACGGTCATTTCTAAAGGCTGGTGAGATTTTTTATGAAGTAAATTAGTTCATATAATACATATCTGCATTTTCTCCTCTTTTATATTGCTCCTGGAATAGATTGATAGCAGTGGGAGTCACAGCCTCCACTGGTATTTTCTACATTTTTTCTATGATCTGTGAAATATGATTTTTTATGAACTGTTATTATTGCTGTTTAATTTGGGTAAAACGATATTAAGCTTATGAGGGCATGGTGGCACAGTGGTTAGTTAGCATTGCTCTCTCTCGCAGCGCACCATGGGGAGCAATCTATCTGTGTAGTGTTTGTGTTCTCCCTGTATTAGTGTGAGTTTACTCCAGGTGCTCCAGTTTCCTCTCACAGTCTAAACGTACTGGAAGGTTAACTGGCTTCTGGGGAAATGGGGAAATTGGGGGTGTGAGCGTCTGTATTGTGTTTCTGTGCAATCTGCAATGCACGAGCGTTTTATCCAGGGTCTATCCTGCCTTGTGCCCGTTGTTTGGCGGGTGGGCTCCGGCTTCCCCTTGACCCATTAGCGAAAGTTATTAGCAAATGGATGAATTGACAAGGTTTGAGTAGGGAGCAGTGTTAGGGTGCATTGATTTTAAAGGAACAAGTAATGGTTAATTCCACATTGATCAGTAGAAAGTAAAAAGTAGAAATTCTTCATTGAAACTGCTGTTGAGCCTTCTTTGAGTGTGAGGGAGAGAGAATGAAGGTTGGAATAAAAATCACGAGAGAACAAAGGACAGAGCAGGTGCGAATGGGTACACAGGTGAGAAAGATATATCTTTGTTGTAAATGTCTGTAATAGGTCTGTAGATTTTATTTTATTTTTATTTTTTGGAAAACACTGGCAAAACTGATTGTACCCATCGGTCATGCCATTAAAGCAACTTGAATTGTATTGAATTGAGTGTCTGAACAAAGAGCGAGATGGGGGAGAAATGTGAAAGTATGAAAGTTTTTTAAAAAGAAATGAGTCTGTCATTGAGAGAAAAGTGTGACCTATGTTCCCTCTAATTTGTAATGGCCTATGTGCGCAAACAATTCGAGTACCTGTGCGCACTAAATTGAGTATATGTGAAATTGTAAACCTGAAATTATTTTTTGTTAATATAGTCATTCTCATTGAAGCATAGAGATCCAAAAGACCGGGACAGCAATTCAACGAGCCCAGTCATAGAGACTGTGCCGAGCGAGCATGAGCAGTGAGGTTCAAGACTACGAGGGCATAGATATCGGTTATTGAGTAGCAATAATAATGCACACAGCCAAGTTGGGCCTCTCACAGCCAGTCTCATGGTCAATTTAGCGTTTTTCAATTGATAACCGTGTTTGTTTTATTATTATAATTTTGGGGGGAATTTAATTTTTTGTGCTCAGTTCAATTTCCTTTGTGTGCTGCTTTGCTTAGAGAGAACATTGGGTGTGATCCAAAATTATTAATTTTGGCTTTGGATGTACTAATTTAACGTTTAATTTACTGCTTAACTGCTTGTCATCTATCTGTTATCAGAGCGTTGCTTCACCTGCTGAGAGTCATGGCTAGCTGGGGGCCCGTCCCAAAAACATAGAACATGACAGCTCTTCCCCTAGAGGGGGCAGCAGTCCATTGCAGGGTGACAAAGAAAGGGACGATTTCAAATAGCCACTCAAGCCTAGTCAGCTTGTCTTTTGAAAGTAGGAGGAAGCTGGAGCTCCCAGAGAAAACCTGAGATCAGGATCAAAATTCAAAATCATGCACACATGCAATGGAGAAGGAATATGGTTGGGCTATTCACATTTTACTCTGGAAATAGAGGATACATGTGAAGCCCATGTTGATTATTGACAAGGAGCATGCAAGCAGGGTGGAGAAGGGGATTTTGTAATAAGATTTTGGTTGGGTGGATAGAGTGGGGTGTGTTTAATACTTTCAACAATTTTTATTTCTGAGTTCTAATAGGTTTAACATTTAATATACACCTCTTTCAACTAGCAGCCTACTGATAAAAAGGAATGTTAAGTATAGTAACCTCTAGTTCGCATCACGTTTTTCCAAAGCTATTTCGTGATCCCTCTTGCAGCATTCTGAAATTCCCAATCTTGTTGAGCTGAGTTATCAGTTGCTGGTTTAATAGAGTTTTCATTTGTCAATGAAAATCTAAAAGTTCTAACAATCGCTTTCATGAGCATACCATCTTTTCAATGTATTAGGCCTAACAGAACCACCTCTTGCTCATATTAGCCTCAGGGTAGTTGACTTTGTTAGGTACAACTATACACTGTACACTTTACAGTAGCTATAACAACCATGCATGTACAGCAGCAAAAATTACAATTAGAGTAACTAAAAAAAGTAACTACCTTGTCAAAATGCACAAATCACAAAGAGGGGTGGATTATTATAATAATTAACAGCAGTAATTGACATGCATTAACATATAATGGAAGTCATTTTAATTAATTTTGTTAATTATATAGCAACACAGAGAAGCTCAATATATTTGGTGGTCTATGTTGTTTGTTTAAGGATCAATTTGACCAAATAATTGAACATCTAGACCCTGATTTCTGCACAGAACAGGTTTTAAACAAATTGTTTTCTGATTTTTTCCAGGAAATGAAACATGTATGCACAGTGAGATGTGCCCAATTAAAAAAAAAATACAGTTTGTCTGGAAGAGATTCTTTCCATTTCAACAACACAGTGGAGTGATTGAAGATATAGTTTTAGTTTGTAATCGGGGCATGCTAACATTCTATGAGATATAGTACCCTTGTAAACTAGAGGATGTTGACAACATTTCATCCATTCAGATGCCTCATCTTTAGATTCACCCTTACTCTGGCTTTCAGATGTGGTTTTGAATTTCCAGACTGTAGTCTTATGGACCAGATGCCTGCTCCCTTTGTCTGAGAAGAAAAAAGTATTTTCACAATCTGGACATAAGCTGTCAACATCACAGCCATTTTTGGATAGCAAGCAACCTCAGGTCATCTAATGTCTCAGCTTTCAGAGATGTACAATGGCATATTTTCACTTTGTTCATGCAGAAAAAGTCTCTCTCACAGATTATTATAAAGGGCTGAGTGTAAGGAGTACCTGTTTAGTAGAAAAAGAATGTAAGAAAAGTGGTAGGCTTCTCCTGTAAAGTAATAATGTACAGGTTAAAGCTCCTGTCCCGTATTGCCATGTGATCAATCCTTTCCTGTGGAATTAAGTTGGACTCTTCCTCTGTCAAAATATAAATTTCATTCTGGGGCTAAAGTGTGTGATTATACTGATAGGCTGAAGAAACTGAACCTTTTTTGTCTCGAACTGATAAGACTACAAGATGTCCAGATAAATGTAATCAGAATCCTCAAAGTTACTGACAAAGTTAATCCAGTTATTTTGCCAGGATATCCTTGCTTCTTTCATTGAACGGCTGGAGAAGTTCCTTGGAACAATTTGCTGCTAACAACCAAACAAATTAGATGTGCCAATAGCCTCCTCTCATTTGTGTCTATTCTTCTGAACTTCTTCAAAGAGCTTTCAAGTTCACATATCTCTCATGTAGCAGCAGAGGTACAGTGAAGTAAGACAGGCCTTTGGAAATCTCTCATGTTAGTTTGTCACAATGATATGAGGTAGTTTAGTGACATCTGTGTCCCATGGTGTAGGATGTGCCTTACAGGAGTATCCAAAATACAATTTTAAAAATGCATATAAAAAACGTTATGGTGAATAAAGTGCCCCTTATTTCTTCTTATTCCACAATCCAGACTTTGGTCCTGCAAGGCAACTTCAAGTATGAGCATTGTCAAACAGCAATGTTTTTATGAGGTGTAAGTAAAAAGAAACTGCTTCTTTTCACACCAAATATGTTAGAGTTAGAGCTTGGAAAAGAGCAGTGAGTAATAATAATAATAATAATAATAATAATAATAATAATAATAATAATCAGATTATAAATATAACTATAGAATAACAGTCAGTACATATTCACCTTCTGTTACACTGCCAGTGAATTTCTAGTAATTTATTGTACAGGTGCTATCTTGTTATATTGAAGTGTGTCTGACATCATTATTGAGATTAACAGCACAACATTATTAGAACCTATCGTGGAAATGTTGTCACAC